CCTAATGTATATTTGAGTTAACGAAAGAGAAATTGGCAAAATGATTGATTAAAACTAAGGAAACTAATTACTTGCAGGAAATTAAAAGCATCAAATAAATTGCTAACTAAAACACAATATTAAAAGCGTTGCCGCTACGGGTTTGGTTTGACTCAAGACCAACTCTCACAATTCCTCTCTTCCCTCTTCAATTTCCTAAACCTACAAGGCTAGGCAAATCAATAAAAATATCTCCCAGCAATCTAGGTATAATCTATCATGTCTCCCTGTTGTCTTAGTTACAGATCAATTGGTTAAAGATTATCATTGGCTAACCGAAAAATGCTAAACCCTTAAACACCAGTAGTTGGTACAATGTTAACAAGTACAACCTATCAACTTGTATCATCCAATCAACTAATTACACAACAAATGCATTCCTAGCAGAAATGATATTAAACGCTAATACAACTTGATTGTAATCAGTACCGAAGTAGTTTAAAGTCATAATCAACATTCAATAATCTCAAACCGACATTCAATTATGTGAAAAGTTATATATCAATAAACATTCTCAATGGACATTATCAATTCAGCACGTCAAGCATCAGAATAATATTAAAGCATCGCAAACAAACTGAAACGAAAACAAATATAATCTGAATACAAGAAACTTAACCAAATGTCCAACATTCGGGCTCATCCAACTAGTCGAGAGCTGATGAGGAGAGCATTGGAGTCAATCTCGATCTCACCTACACCATAACAGACAACCGGGTGACATGATGTGAAGAAGGGGCGAAAATGACCAACGGACAGCCCATAATACAAACAGTCGCACTCGTTGGAAAACGTCTTCTGATAAATGGTGGCGGAAATGGGATCCAAAGGTACCAATGGAAAGCTCAGGTGATGGAGAGTTCAGATCAGGTCCTGGGGAGATGAGAGGTCACAAGAAATAGGAGAGATTGAGGTTGGAAGGTGAAACATCGCGACGGTGGGATGGCAGATTCCGGTGGTATTTGCGGCAACTGAAGCTTGGAATGGATAGATCCAGCCGTGGGAAAGCTAGATCAACCACCAGGGAGATGAAACGTCACTGGAGGTCACCGAAAAATGGCCCAACGACGGCTGGAATGCGAAGAGTCACTGGAAAATGGCGTGATTTGCGGTGGTGATGCAGGATGATGATGATCGGTGCAAGGGGAAGCTCAACCGTCGCTGAAGATCACCGGAAAAGAAGATGAAGAGTCATCGAAGCTTGATCGGAGAAGGTGAAGGGTTTTGGTGGGCGGTAGCCACCCAATCTGAGACCTTGCGCTGCATTTTTATACAAAATGTGGCAAATTTATGTTGTCCCTACATGATTGAAACGTTACAAAATCAACCCCAAGTTTTATGACAATTTGACCCCTAAATGGCATAAATGAGACAACATCAACCCTAGAAAATAAAGAACATCCTAATATTAACTTACACAATCTCAAATTTCAATCCAAACATGCCAAATTAGTAAGAAAAACTCAAAATATGATTTTTATACATAAATTCATAATTTCTCTTAATTATCTCAATATGATTTCATTTTAATCACACATATAGTCTTTTTATCACAAAAAATAGTCACTTTCATGACTCTAATATGCAGTTTAGGCGTTATAAACACTGCACTATGCTCAGTTTGATATGCATATGATAAAACCATTCCACGATAATACATTGCCTAAACATGTCATTGATGTTTACTCTATTGAACAGATTTTATGATTTTTCAGCGAAATGAAGACACAGGCTAGCAACAGAGCTCACCGGATTCTGGATAATATGCAAGTTAAGGTAATCAAAAGAAATTTTGATTTAAGCATGGTTCAACCTGAAATGAACTGCTTCTTTACCTCATTGATTCTTTGAACTGTTGTAATTTGGAAGGTAATTAAAATAAATTTCCAGAATTAGTCAAATTCTGATATTTTCCAACCTTTTATATACATATTTTCATGGATGGTGAAGCTTCTTCATACTTCGGTCCCACATTTGGTGTTCTTTCCGGATGATCAGTTGATGTTGTCGATGAGTGGACTAAAATTAAGGAAGCTGTGATTGCAGAGGTTTAATTGATGGTGCTCTTCCTCTAATATGACATGGAGTTTTATTTTGAATTGGAAGGCAATGATACACTCTGATTAATTGGGCGCTCTTCAAATGATTTTAGACCAATGCTGGTAGACACTACAAAGACTATGCTCAAAGGATGAATTTCTGGAGTAATTTACAGCTTCGATTTTTTTTTTTTTTTTTAAATTCGTATTCGGATTCTAGTGCTATGAGTTGGATGATTTTCTGAGTTGCTGGCCTAAGACCACTGTTGCTCATTTAAAAGTTTAAGCGACTGGCTGCATTAGCTACAAGTTCCTGGAGTTCTTCCTGAGGTGCTAATTAGTACATAATTGAGTGGATACAGGTGAAGTTTATGAAGTCAAAATATTCACAAAACACTTGAATCAACTGTAGGATCAATGGTGTCTCTTTTTAACACAAACCATGAAGCCTCTGATTTAGAACCGTTATAGAGTTTAACACTAGCCAATGTCCGTGTTATAAACATGAAAACTTATATCAATGCCACAACTCATAGATTAAATCTTTCTTCATAATAAAATAACTAGGATTAATACTTCATTCATTCATGACAATAAGGTTAGCCAAATCTTGAGGGGTGGGAGCTGAGAAGGAGAAAGTGTGACGGGGAGAGAAATCCAGAGGTGGGGTTAGGTAGGGTGTGGCAGTGATGGGGAAGAGATGGAGGTGAGAAAGTGCCACATCAGGGAGGGATGGTGGGGGTGGGAAAGATGCCGCAAGGGGAGGGGAAAATAAAGTGACGGGGTTGTGTTTTCTTTGATGATTATTTAATATTCACAGTTCACTATGAAGTTGAATTATTGGAATGTTAGAGCCAAGACTTTAAAACCAAAGTTGCAGATAGTTCTTGGATTCTCTGCTTTATGAGTACACTGTCCATTTTCCATTTTACTTTTTCTTTATCTTTCATAATAAACACTTGACTCTTGGATGTCCATTTTCCATTTTATTACTGTTGAGTGAAAAAAGAAGAAACCTATCAAACTTTTTATTTTTGATGTCGAAATTGGTAACTATATGCGTTTCTAACACTGGCCTAAAATTATTCAGACATTGAGCAGTTATGAAAATTTTCTTAATATATTTGATAGTTTATCCATGTATTGATGATATTAAATTATGTATGAGTTTAAGAAAAAGTGTGGGGAGGTCAGCTGAATTTGTATTATGTTTTAACTTTTCCCTCCTTTCAATGTCTTCTCTTGCTTCTTTTTCATTTTGAACACTTGACTCTAGGAAGTCACTGTAGAATATCAGCTTAAAATATTTATTAGTTGATGAATTTGTTCTGCATCTACCCTTTATCTCTACCGGAGTTTTGTTAAACTAACCAAGTCATCAATTTTAATCAAATTATTGATTTGAATTTCATTGATTTTATCTCTTCTGTGAAACTTGTAGGCTAGTAAAGTGACTTGGGCTGGTGCTTGGAAATTCACTAAAGCAAACACTATTATGACCACTAACAAGGAGCCTCCCAAACTTTCCATTTTCTAAGTCTCTTCATCTCCCAAACTCTGCCTAGCTCTTTATTTATTCTACTATTTTCTGATCACAAATTAATTCAATGTATTATTTTCGTGATTAGGATAAAAATATTAATTCTGAAACGCAATTAGGACTCTTGGGTTGCTTCAGATCCTCCCCCCTTTTCTTCCTTGTCCTTTTATTATGCTTTTGACACTTATCTCTTCTTTAGACAATTCGGAAAGGATACAGCCACCGAAGGTTATACACCGAATTCATGCACTGAATGACATGGCAAAATCCTGACCGTCGATTAATATTAAGTTAAAATTAATCAACGGTCAGGATTTTACCACGTCATTCTGTGGATGAATACGGTACACTACTTCGATGACTGTAGCATTACTCTTAGACAATTATGTCTCTTAATTTCTCCTGTACTATGATTATGATTTATCAAAGTGTTTGGAAAATTTCTGTGGGCGGTGCATGGTGGTGTCCACACGGTCTGATAAAGAGAATAGGAAAGAAACAATTTGATTTAACTTTTTTGTCTTTTTATTAAACAAACATTACAGAGACTACGCATGAGGGGTGAGTTTTGATGATTCTGAGATGCTTACCTCTGACTCCCAGTTGCTTTTTTATAAATTTTAGCAACTGGCTTCGTCAGCTACTAGTTCTTGGAGTTCTTCATGAGGTGTGAGTAGAGCAGTGTTTGCAAAAAAAAGTTGAGGGAATGTTGACTGACTCTGTTGTATTGTAACTTATATTGGTCTATTTCTTTATTAAGAACAAAATTGTCTTTTCATTTTGTAACCTTTCGTATATATTGTCATTTGTCTTTGTATTTGTAAGTGGAGTGAAAAAATACAAATTAGTAGAGAAAAAGATGAGGGTGTGCTCTTGTGTCATGTAACTCCCAAAAATTGTTTGAGGGTGTTTAGGGAGAATATTATGTACTTGTGTTTTCTCTCTTCAAATAGTGGATTATCATCATTGTTTGTGGATGTAGGCATACTGGCCTAAACCACGTAACTCTAATGTATACTTTAGATTTCATTTTATTTCAAAGGAATTGATTAACATGAATAACGAAAGATCGACAAAAAATACATACATACATATATTATTTCTTCTTGGAAGTCAGTGTGGAACAATATTTATAAGTTCATCTCTTGAGTTTTGTTAAACTAATTAATCAAGTCATTAATTTTAATCAAACACTAATCCAATTATTGATTGGATGAACTTTTACTTTAAAAAAGCAACCACTATGAGGTTGAATTATGGCAATGGTGGAGCCAAGACTTTAAAAACAAAGTTGCAGACAGTCGGACTCTCTGCTTTATGAGCACGCTGTCCATATTCCATTTTACTTTTTCTTTATTCATAGTGAAGTGTTGAGAGAAAAAGGAAGAAACCTCTCAAACTTTTCATTTTCTAAGTCTCTTTCTACTTCTCCCAAACTCTCCTAATTTCTCCTTTTCATTTCTAAATTATCACAAATTCAACAACTCAAAAGCCAAATTTCATCTCTTCATCTTGCAGATACTGCTTGCTCAGAATCGACTGTTAAGAAATCCAGAAGATCCTCATATACTAATTACAGGTAAGGAAAAACAACCACTTTTCAAATATTCAAGGATTCTTTTATGCTTGTATCTTCAAGGATCCTTTAAAGTGAACCAGATAAGTTGTTTAATCCTCTTAGGATTATATCTTCACTACTGGATATGTATGTTAATTTATTTTAATTGATATTATTAATTATTTTAAATTTTTTTATTAATATAGTTTATGTTTTATTATTTTTAAATAAATAAAAAATATCAATAAATGAATATTTTCATAGTAAAATTAGATAATAAAAATTACTATTTACCAAATTTACAACGCTTTATAGCTTTAGAGACAAATTATTCTCACAGATAAACAAAGAAAATATATTACATAATTTATATATGATGTGAGATAAATTCATCTAAAACATATTTCAATATACTGTAATTCAAATCATCTCTTAATTACATTTCTTAGAAGCTTTGAAATTTTTGAAATAAATTATATTTGGAATTTTGATTTATTAACTCTGTTGTTTTTATAGTAATTGTCATTGTTCTGTTAATCATTTCAATTGTAGAGAAAATGAAGAAGATAAGGCAGAGAAAGTTAAAATTCTGTGCAACTGTAATATCGAATGTCTTTTTAATTATCATCCTTCTCTTTCTTGATTGTTGCTCTTCATCTGATTATCATCCCTCTCTGTATGAGAATTTTAATTCATTTTTATCATTTCTTCCTGTGTAGTCAAAACCATGCCAGTGGGAGAAGTCTTCCTTGGTGCTTTTCTTCAGGTGTTGTTTGATAGATTGGCGCCGAGTAAGCTGTCGCTCTTTCCGTGTGAAGATGGGATACGTTCAGAGTTGAAGCAGTGGAAGAGAAAGTTTTCAATGATCAAGGTAGTGCTCAACGATGCCGAGGAGAAGCAACTGAAGAACGAGGCTGTGAAAATGTGGTTGGACGATCTCCAAGACTTGGCTTATGATGTGGAGGACATCCTGGAGGAGTATGCCACTCAGGTTGTAGAGCGGGAATTGATGACAGAACAATCGACACAATCGACAAACAGAATTGCTGATTATTTCACTTCTTGGACTCCAAGTGCTCTGATTTCCCAGGCTGATATGAAGTCCAAGACAGAAGAGATAACTAGACGTTTAGAAGATCTCTGTGAAGAAAAGAATGATCTTGGTCTGAAAGAGATTGCTGGAGGCTCATCTACTATTGCAAGGAAAAGACCACCTAGTACATGTGTCCCAACTGAACCAGCAGTTATCGGAAGAGATGCTGATAAAGCCAAGATACTTGAAATGGTGTTAAGCGATAAACAGAGTGGTGGCAGATTTCATGTAATTCCCATTGTTGGGCTAGGAGGAGTTGGCAAAACAACGCTTGCTCGGGAGGTATACAATGACAAGGCAGTGGCAGATTTCAATCCAAGAGCATGGGCATGTGTTTCGGATGACTTTGATGTTCTGCGTATCTCCAAGGCAATTCTTGAGTCAATCACTGCATCAACTTGCACTCCAACGAACTTAAATGAAGTGCAGGTTCAGCTGAAAAATAATATAGCAGGGAAAAAATTCTTGTTAGTCTTGGATGATGTTTGGAGTAAGGATTATGACTCGTGGGAAGTCCTAAAGTCTCCATTCTTGGCTGGAGCGCCAGGAAGTAAAATAATTGTAACCACACGCAGAAAAGATGTGGCATCGACAATGGAACTAAAAGTATGCTATAATTTGGAGCTTCTGCCGGAAGATGCTTGCTGGGCCATATTTGAGAAGCATGTATCTGGAAGTAGAGTTATTACTGCAGGAAAGAATATGGAATTACTCCAGCAGAAAGTTGTTAAAAAGTGTAAAGGCTTGCCGTTGGCAGCAAGAACGCTAGCTGGCCTTTTACGCTCTAAGCAAACATATGATGAATGGGTGGATATATTGGACAGCGAAATTTGGGATTTGCCTGAGGAAAGTAATATTCTCCCTGTCTTAAAATTAAGTTATTATCATCTTCCGTCACATCTTAAGAGATGTTTTTCTTATTGTGCAATTTTTCCGAAGGATTATGAATTCAAGAAGGAAGAACTTGTACTTTTGTGGATGGCAGAAGGACTTATTCAACAGTCAAATCATAAGAAGCAACTAGAAGACCTAGGAGGCGAGTATTTTTCTGAGTTATTGTCAAGGTCAATTTTTCAACAATTGAGTAATGATAGTTTGAAATTTTTGATGCATGACCTTGTCCACGATTTGGCCCAGTGGATTTCTCGAGGTACAAGTTTTAGATGTGAGGATGAATTGAGTGTCATGCTAATAGAAAGACATGAAAGGATTCGACACTCTTCATACACATTTATACGGTATGAAGTTGAAAAGAATTTCGAAGTCTTCCATGGACTTGAAAAGTTAAGGACGTTCTTGCGAATTTGGGCATCAAAATTAATATTTCGTAACAGTTACGTAAGTCGGTCAGTCTTTCCCAATTTATTGCCGAAGCTCAGAAAATTGAGATCACTATCTTTAACAAATTATTCAGCGATTGAATTACCTGATTCAATTGGGGATTTGAAACATTTGAGGTATCTCAATCTTTCTAAAAGTCAAATCACAAATCTACCTGAGTCAACAAGTTCACTATTCAATTTACAAAGTTTGTTATTAAGTTGGTGTTCTCATCTCAAAAAGTTGCCTTTAGAAATGGGAGATCTAATCAATCTTCGCCATCTTGATATTAGAGGTGCAATACTTATAAGAGAGATGCCTTTGGGAGTGAAAAAATTGAGATGTATTCGAACCTTATCTAATTTTGTTGTGGGTAAAGGTGTCGGATCTAGTTTGAAAGATTTAAAAGAATTAAAGTTTATTTGTGGAGAACTTTATATTTCAAGGTTAGAGAATGCAATTGATTGTCATGAAGCAAGAGATTTTATATTGTGCAACAAGAAGGATTTAGAAGTGTTAGTGCTAGAATGGAGTTCTTCTATGCCCTCACGAGATGAAGAAGCAGAGAATATTGTTCTTGACATTTTACAACCCCATACAAATCTTAAAGAGCTCACAATCAACAATTTTGGCGGCAAACAATTTTCATCTTGGATAGGAGATCCATCATTCTCTAATATGGTTTCTCTTAAATTGGGTGAATGTGAAAATTGCAAGACCTTGCCTTCGATTGGGCTACTGGGCTCACTTAAAAACCTCAGCATCAAAGGGATAAAAATGCTTGAAAAAATTGGCTGTGAGGTGTATGGGGAGAGTTGCTCAGAATCTTTTCAATTACTAGAGACTCTTTGTTTTGAGAATCTGCCGGAATGGGAGCAGTGGGATCCTTTTGAAGAAAAGGAGCATGTTGAAAGGTTCTCTTGTCTCAAAGAGCTTTCCATATCACAATGTCCTAAACTCTCTGGAAGATTACCTAACCGTCTTCCGTCATTAGAGAAACTTGTGATTAGTGATTGTCAGCAATTGGTGGTTTCGTTCACAAGCCTTCCACTGCTCTGCCGTTTAGAAATAGAAAGATGCAAAGGCGTGGTATGCAATAGTCCAATTGACTCACGAACACTGAATCCGCTTCCTTCATTGGAAACTGTTGTGATTGATAAATTTGAGGAATTAGGGATTTCTCTCTCAAGCCTTCCAATGCTTCGCTCCTTGAAAATAATTAGATGCAGCAGAGGCATGGACTACCCTCTTCCTTTATTGGAGATTGCTGTGATTAATAAATGTGAGGAATTAGGGATTTCTTTCTCAAGCCTTCCAGTGCTCCGCTCGTTGCAAATAAGTAGCTCAAGTGAGTCCCTAATTAGTGAAGAATCAAATGTTCCAGTGTTCAGAAGGTGGACCAGGGAGGGATTTCAGAAATTAGAAACTCTAGAAATTGTTGGTTGGGAAGAGCTCACACATTTGTGGGGAAATGAGATTTTTCTTGAGAAGCCACTACAAGGTTCCCACAGCTTCACCTCTCTTAAAGAGCTATGCATGAGAGAGCTTCCAAATCTTGTTTCGTTTCCAGATGGTTTTCTTTCCTTACCGACAAAAGTTGAAATTAGTGACTGTAATGCTATTACATCATTATACGGGGGCTTGAAGCACAACAATGCACGTGTTGAGCACTTGAAAGTCGATGGTTGTAATTCTCTATCATTCATTGTGAGAGGCCAACTACCTTCGTCTCTAAAAACCCTTTGGATGGCCAACTGTAAAAAATTGGTGTGTATTTGGGAGCATACTGGTACTCCTTCTCCATCTTCTTCTAATGCATTGATGGACAAAGAAGATGTGGATAACACCACCACATCTCTTCTCTGCAAATTGGAAATATATGGCTGCCGCTCTCTTACGTACTTATCATCGATATACCAGTTACCTCCAACACTCACAGAGCTTAGAATTTTTGGATGTCCAAATCTCAGGACGTTGCTATCTGGGGGATCAACTCTGGAGGGCCAATACACTCTTTCCAATCTAAATCTAATTGATATTCGGGACTGTTCCAGTCTTGTTTTGGGCCGGGAAATTGTGCTTTCTAACAATAATTCAGTAGTTATTATCGATCAATATGAGAAGATACAAGCACTACCAAGCCGCATGCACACCGTCAAATCTGTTCAACACTTACGCATATCGGAATGTCCAAGCATGGCATTGTTTCCAGAAGAAGATATTCCCACCAATATAACGTCACTTTATGTTGGTGAACCCAAAATCTACAACTCACTGGCTGGGTGGGGCTTCCACAAATTCACCTCTCTTAGAAGCCTCTCAGTTAGTGGATGCCCAAATGCAGTGTCTTTCCCTGAGGAGGAGATGGGAATGAAGTTGCCATCCTCTCTAACTGAAATGAGTATTTCAGGATTCCCAAAATTAAAATACCTATCTCCCAAGGGTTTCCAAGATCTCACCTCTCTTGAAAAATTGTGGATCAATGATTGTCCAAATCTCACATCTTTGCTAGATTTTCCATCTTCACTTCTCCTACTATCTATTCATTGTTGCCAAAATCTCACATCCTTACGAGACCTTTCATCCTTGTTTGTTGAACTATGGATTTCTAGTTGCCTAAATCTAGCATCCTTACCAGACCTTCCATCCTCGCTGCTGCAACTATGGGTTTCTGATTGCCCTTTGCTGAAACAACGTTGCAAAAGGGATAAAGGACAGGACTGGCCCAAGATAACCCACATCCCTTGTGTTTTGATAGATGGGAAGTTCATCCACGATCCAGAGGAAGAAGAATGAAGTCAATTTGCTTTCAGAATGAAAAAGGCTGAATCTGTCAATTACCTCACTTCATTCTTATGGGCCATTCAGGTCTGTCAATTTCTAGAACCCCACAACATTAGCTTTTATCAAAACGATTAGATTTTCATAAAACAGAGTGTTCATCAATAATTATGTTGTTCTTACAGGATCAACCAAACAGTCAATTCTGGGATGCAGTATGACAAGAGTGGCAATGACAGTACTGATTTATAAAACTTAAATTAAGCAGTGTACAAAGTTTTTAAGTGAGGTAGTTAGTTAAAAAATGTTAGAAGTGTATTGAAGTTTTAAAGTTATTTGACCATGCCTAAACTTGCAGTTTTATAGGTTTTACTATTTTTCAGCTCTGTGAAAACAGAGGCTAGTAACAGAGCTTACCACATTGCACATAACCTATTATTTAAAGTGGCATGAAGTAACCTTTCACTCATCTTGCAATGAACTCAGGTTGTAATTGATAGAATTTGAGGTGGGTCTGACTTCTCACCCAATAAGGTCTTATTGAATGGGAGGATTACCCCTTCTTATAAACCAGTAGGCTTGAGCATGCTGAGTCTGTGTGGAACTCCAACACGCCCCCCCACGGTCAAGCTCATATGTTGGGTCATACCTGTTGATAGAGGTAGTTGCTAGCTCTAACTCTTCACTCGTTGGTCAAACACTCAGCTCAACTGGGTCTAGCTTTGATACCATGATAGAATTTGAGATGGGCCTAACTCCGAACCCAATAAGATCTGGAGTCAGGTCCACCTCAAATTCTATCAGTAATGCTATTGTATTCCTTGTTATTAATGTTTTTCATATATTGTTTTTCAGAATCAGACGGTTGAAGTCATCCTTTTTTCAGAATCTGAGTCTTAAAAGCTTTTCATTTTATTAGAGAGTGAGCTTAAAGGAAGCTTCTTCTTATAATAGTGGCAACATCAAGGTTTTATTAAGGAAAGCCAGTTGATTTGTGGTCAGTTAACAGGTAGCCTTTCTTGTAATAATACGTGGAGCTCAATCTTTCATGGCATGGAATGTCAATTCACTTGTATCATTTTGAAGCAAGTGGGCAATTTAATCCAGAATTGGAATACAAATTCCAGTAAGAATTTAAGACTTAATGCTTGCTGCATTATGATGAATTAAATTTTCATCTCTGTTGCTGAAGTTAACTGCTTCTTCACCTCATTGATTCTCTGAAATATTCAGGGTTAAAGGTAATAACAGAAATTTGAGGAATGAGTCAGATTCTGATATTTACAATAGATTATAAATTTGGTTAATAATAAAGTTTCTGATACTATGGTTGCAATATTTGGGTTTGCTTTCGGATTATCAGTTCATGCTCTTGATGAGTGGACCAAGAGTAAGCTTGATATCAGTAGTCTAAAGTCTTTAGACATGGAGAAGTTCATCCAGGTTTCATTAACATCCAGTTGGTTTGTGTTTTGTGGATAGGTAGATCTTCTTCTAATGAGACAAATGGAGCTGATTCAGATGTTGACGGCAACAATACACTCTTCTAAGTAGAGTTTTGATTATATATATATATATATATATATATATATATATGCGTGTGTGTGTGTTATTTCTACGTAATTGCATGCATTTGCATTTTCTTCATTTACCTATTGTAATAGGATTTCTCAAGAAGGGTAAGGTTCATTATGTCCCCCCTTGTCTAGGTGTATATTTTTTAATCAATTAATAAAATTTCCTCGTACCGTCGAGATTCCCTAAAAAAGGAGATAAAAATAATGAATAAATACTTCAGAAATTATTTGTAATGAGAGTTTTGTTTTGTTGAAAGTTGCTATTATTGGCTTGATTAGCTGCTACTTTCTGCAATTTGGTGTTGGTGTTAGAATGCTGGAATCCTGTTCAGCCTTGCAATAATGAAGATTTGCAGTTTTTGGGTTGTACTGTGGTTCAAATGTTTGAATTTTTGTTGCCGAAGATTCTCTTAAAGCCTTTCTAAGGTTATGATTTGCTATGGCCATGGCCATGGCCATGGCTTGTTGTTACTTTGCAGAAAACGAGCTGCTGATATTTCTTCTTGTTATAAGACAATGTTACTTTGTTTAACAGCTCATGTTCTTGTTAAAGCTAGAATGTATGATGATGCCAAGATGATAGCTAGGCAGTTAGCTCACATGGGTATCGGTCAAAACTCCGTTTTTGGTGCTCTGATTAATACATACCCTCTTTGTAATTCAAATCCCTCTGTTTTTGACTTGTTGATTAGGGTTCATAAGAGAGAAGGGATGGTTGTGGAGGGGTTGGAGACGTTTAGGTTGATGGTTTTTAGAGGGTTTAATCCGTCGATTTTTACTTGTAATATGATGTTAGGATGTTTGCAGAAAGAGTGTGGGGTTCGGTCAGTTTGGTTGGTTTTTAGGGAAATGCTGGCTAGGAAGATTTGTCCTAATGTTGCTACTTTTAATGTGTTGATAAACGTTTTGTGTGTGGAAGGGAATCTTAAGGAAGCCGATTATTCAGTGAGAAAGATGGAAGAGAGTGGTTATGTTCCCAATTTAGTGATTTATAATACTTTGCTCAATTGGTATTGCAAGATGGGGAGGTATAAAGCGGCGTTTGTGCTGATTGATCATATGGGGTGTAAGGATATCAAAGCTGATATATGTACATATAATATGTTTATTGATGATTTGTGCAGAAGCAATAGAAGTTCAAACGGTTATTTACTGTTGAAAAATATGAGGAAGAGGAGGATATCTCCTAACAAAGTCACTTATAGTACTCTTATTAATGGGTTTGTTGGGGAGGGAAAGATTGGGATTGCAATTCGGGTTTTTGATGAGATGTCAATTCTTAATCTTTCACCAAATCGTATTACTTACAGTGCTTTAATTGATGGACACTGCAACAAGGGTAATTTTGAAGAAGCTTTGAGACTTTTGGTTAGGACGGAGGCAGTTGGACTAAGACCTAATGAAGTCAGTTATGGGGCTCTTTTAAATGGATTATGTAACATGACAAGTTTGACTTAGCAAGGGGTTTCCTGGAGAAAATGAGGACTGACGGAATGGTTATTGGCCATATAACATATACATCAATTATTGATGGGCTAAGCAAAAATGGGTTGCTTGATGAAGCTATGCAATTGCTCGATAATATGTTCAAGGATGGATTGAATCCTGATCTTATAACATTTTCTGTAGTTATAAATGGATTTTGCAGAGTGGGAAAGACTAAAAAAGTGAAGGAGTTATTATGTAAATTGTATAGAGCTGGATTTGTTCCTAACGACATCATATACTCTACTTTAATCTGTAACTTCTGCAAGATGGGAAATGTTGCGGAAGCATTGAAGGTCTTTTCAGTTATGAGTTGCAATGGTCATGATTCAGATAAGTTTACATTTAACGTATTGGTTGCTTCTCTATGTAGAGTTGGAAAAGTTGGTGAGGCAGAAGATTTTATGCATCACATGAGCAGAATAGGTCTTGTCCCTAACTCAGTGACTTATGATTGTATTATAAATGGCCATGGAATGTTGGGCAATGGGTTAAAAGCATTTTCTGTGTTTGACGAAATGATTAAACTAGGTCATCACCCAAGTCATTTCACATATGGTAGTATACTTAAAGGACTGTGCAAAGGCGGTAATTTGCAGGAGGCAAAACAATTTTTGAATAAGCTTCACTACATTCCTTCTGCTGTAGATACTATTGCCTACAACACAGTAATTTCTGAGGCATGCAAATCTGGAAAATTATGGGAGGCACTGGTCCTTCTTGATCAGATGGTACAGGATAAATTGTTGCCTGATAGTTATACATATACTAGTCTTCTTTCTGGGTTATGTAGGAAGGGCTAAGTTGTTTCTACTCTTCTTTTCTTTGACAAAGTGATGGCAAAAGGTACTGTTCCAAATGAGGTAATGCTTACCTGTTTGGTTAATGGCCTTTTCAAGGCTGGTCAATCAAAGGCTTCTTTGTATATCTATGATGCAATGGAGAAGGAAGGCGTCTTCCCTGACACTGTTAATGTGCTCTATGTTGCACAGTATCATGATAAGGAATGGCCTTTTGCCTGACAAGTTAATGTGTCATTCTCTCATTCTTGGATTCTGTGAGATCGGTATGGTAGAAGTAGGTGTTAAATTCTTGAAAAAGATGGTAGTAGACGGTACTGCAGCTGATCAGCTTGCTCTTAACATGCTTATAATGGAGTGTTGCAAAACTGGTGAGTTGGGGAAGGCCTTTGATCTGCTAAATGTTATGAATAAATTGGATATAAATACCTACAATGCTATCATAACTGGACTTAACAGAGTTTCCGCTTTCCAAGAATCCCATTCCGTTGTGCATGACATGTCAGAGAGGGGTTTCACACCTAAACTTACACAATGTATACCTTAATTAATGGTATGTGTAGAATGGGTGATCTACAAGGAGCATTCAAGCTAAGAGATGAGATGGAGGCACTTCAAGTCAGTCCCTGTGATGTAGCTGAGAGTGCAATGGTGAGAGGGCTTGCACTATGTGGGAAGGTTGAAGAAGCAATGCTGGTTCTTAATTGCATGCTGAGGATGAGACTTGTTCCAACTGTTGCTACTTTTAAGACTCTGATGTACAAATTCTGCAAAGAAGCTAACTTAGTAGAGGAACTGAAGTTGAAAGGCATAATGGAACACTGCAGAGTGAAGCTTGATGTGGTTGCATAAAATGTTCTCATTTCAGGCCTTTGTGCACATGGTGATGTTATGGCTGCAATTGAACTATATGAAGAGATTAAACAAAGAGGTCTTTGGCCCAATACCACCACCTATACTGTTCTCATTGATGCCATTTCCAAGGAGGAGAATTTTGTAAAAGGTGAACTGCTTTTAAAGGATTTACAGGAGAGGAAAATGATATCTTGGGATTGGGATGGAAGCACTCAACATTTGCATGAGGGCTTGATGATTGTGCTGCAAAAGTTGAAAACATTTAGTCGCAGGAGAAAAAAATAGTGCCAGAACGAGTAGAAAATCCATGTAATTGGGTTGAGCACACATAGTGTAATACACTTGGAGCTCTAGTGCCTTGTGATTTGGTTCTTCTTTATTTGATTAATTCTTTTTTTCTACAATATTTCTTGTTTACTTCAGGACTAATCTGTTTTATGCTCTTTTCAGAGTATTTTTATGAGTTATTGTCGAGATCAATTTTTCAATAATTGAGCATTGATAGTTTGAAATTTGTGATGCACGACCTTGTCCAAGATTTGTTCCACGAGATTTCTCAAGAAACAAGTTTTAGATTGAAAGATTAATCGAGTGTCATGCAAATAAAAAGACCTGAAAAGATTTGACACTCTTCTTACACATTTAGAGAGTATGAAGTTGAGAAGAATTTTGAAATCTTCCATGGAGTTGAGCAGCTAAGGACGTTCTTGAGAATATTTTAGCCACAAAGTCAATACATGAGAGGAATTTCGTAAGTAAGTTAGTCTTTTGCAATTTATTGCCAAAGCTCAGAAAATTGAGACCACTATCTTTAACAAATTATTAGGAGATTGAATTACCCGACTCAATTAAAGATTTGAAACATTTGAGGTATCTCAATATCTCTTATACTCAAATCACAAATCTTCCTGACTTAACAAATTCACTATTCAATTTACAAAGTTTGTTATTAAGAAATTGTTTTGTTCTCAATAAGTTGCCTCTATAAGGAAAAATTGATTAATCTACGTCATCTTGATATTAGAGGTGTAATAACCCCTGCCCATGCCGACGTCTCAGGACCCCCTAATGTTGCCTTAGGGTTTAGGGGTTAATGTTGTCGTCAGCCGCCACGTCCCGATTCAGGGATTTTGAACCCGATTCCCTTTCAAAGCTCGTGTGCTGGACGCTATCGGACAGACTTCTCCTGTCTCTTAGGATCGATTAACCCATGTGCAAGTGTCGTTCACATGGAACCTTTCCCCTCTTCGGCCTTCAAAGTTCTCATTTGAATATTTGCTACTACCACCAAGATCTGCACCAATGGCCGCTCCACTCGGGCTTGCACCCCAGGTTTTACAGCGACCGCCGCACCCTCCTACTCATCAAGGCCATAATACTTATAAAAGAGATGCCAGTAGGAGTGAATCAGTTCCCTTTACAAAATCTTAGTTCTATAACAGTAGAAAGTTGCCCAAATCTTGTTTCTTTCCCAAAAGATGGGATTCCTTAACACTGAATTAGAAGCCGTTATAGAGGATGTGAGAAACTACAAGCCCTACCTAGTCACATGCACACCCTCAAATCTCTTCGATCCCTAACCTTACGGAATAATCCAAAAATGGCTCTCTCCCGAACAAGATATTCCCACCAATCTAACATCACTTGACGTTGATGATCCCAAAATCTACAAACTCACTTGCTGAGTGGGGCTTCCACAAACTCGTCTCTCTTAGAAAACTCTGTATTGAGGGATCCCTAAATGCAGTGTCTTTTCCAAAGGAAGAGCTGCCCTTCTCTCCAATTTATTTGACAATTAGAAGATTCCTGCAATTGAAATACCTATCTCCCAAGGGTTTTGAAAATCTCACCTCCTTTGAATGGTTGTCTATCATTGATTGCCCAAATCTCACATCCTTGCCAGACTTTCCGTCCTCACTTCTGCAACTATTTATCAGTAGATGTCCTTTACTGAAACAACGATGCAAAAGGGATGAAGGACAAGAGTGGTCTAAGATAGCCAACATTCCTTTTGTAGTGAAGTTTTTAAATGAGCCAGAGGAGGAAGAATGAAGTCAATTTGATTTCAAGAACGGTTGAAAAGACTGAATGGTCAATTACCTCACTTCTCTCGTGGACTATTCAGGTATGTAAATTTTCATTCATCACCATTAACGTTTTTTAAGAAAATTTTAGATTTTTACTAGCCAGATTGTTAAGACAATTTAAATTCTCAATGCTGATTTGTTGAAAAATAACAAAATACTCACAGTATAAAGTCTACAAAGTCTGTCAGGTAATTAGTAAAATTATTTTTTTATATTGCAGTTTTAAAATTCTTTGAGCATGCCCACCTTATAATTGTTAGTTTTGCATGCAAACGAAAGAGAAAAACAGAAAACAAAAGAGCAAAACCAAGTCTGCAAATAATGCTCTGTTTTTTATTCAAAAAACAGGGGTAAAATATATACACGGCAACGTTACTGTTCCATCAAAACATTTCAAATTTCAAATTTTAAACTAACTCCACCAACTAATACACTTACAAGCAAGTGAGACATTACACTTAACCAAACTTAATACACCTAAACAAGTCAATGAACAAATCAAACACAGTGACCAAAAAACTGCTTCTGCATGAATTACGGGAGATCAACAGGCGTAAAATTGCAGTTCAAAATTCTGCCACCTTTCTGAATTTCCAGCAGGATATCACCCTTCAACAATAATCCCTCCCTAAACTTAGAATTTTAAAGGTTGATTAGACGGTTTTCACTAATTTTCAGCTCTGTGAAAGTACAGACTAATTTTTATGTTCTACAGCTTTTGATGTAAGTACGCAACACAGGCTATGCTTCAAGGATATATTTTAGGAGTTTTCTTACATAGTTAGGTTGTGAAAGTTAATTAAGTAGGGCTACTGTTGCATTCCAGGTTAAGCTTTTAGTTGCCTTCCGAAGTGTGGTGACTCCAGGCTGCTGGCCTACCATTGTTTTGTTGAAAGTTTTTGCTTCTGGCTTGCTTGAAAACAGAGACTAATTTTCATGTTCTGCAGCTTTTGATGTATATTATTTTCTTACATACTGAAGTTTCTATGTACTTTGATCGCTAAATTTGTATTTTTTTTTTTTTTTAACAGATGATGACTATATGTTATTGATGACTGGACTAAATGAAAGCTGTGATTGGGGAGGTAGAATTTTTGATGGATCCGATCAGTATTCATTCCTTTGCTAGTTTTATCAGAACTTGGTTCCAAAGGCTTGATATACTGGTAAGCTAGTTGGTAGAATTTCTTAAATGGGTATTTTATGAACAAGACTGAACTTAAAATTAATGCACATTTGGCAGGTAAATAATGCAGGAATCTCTTGAGCCATATTTGATGCTGAAGCTTTTATTAGCTTAAATCTCAAGAGTGGTGAGGTAAATAATGCATTTGTGTTTTTACACATGATCATACAAGTTATTAACAAGCAAATTATAGCTATATGGATAAAGCAATCCTCACCTTTCATATAGATTTTAGGTGAAAAGGCTCACTTGGTGAAACAAATTATGAAACAAACAAACTTATGAGACAGCTGAAGGGTGCTTAAGAACTAACTACTATGGAACTAAGCAAGTGACAGAAGCACTTATTCCACTTCTTCTACAGTCTGATTCAACAAGAATAGTGAATGTCTCCTCAGCCTTGGGGCAGTTAAAGGTATTAGAACATCAATTCATCTTTCTTGCTGATGTTATGTTACAAAATTTGAGTGAGTCACATTTTCTTACTTCATTGTAAATTCATCTCAGTTCCTCTCACATGAAAGAGCTAACAGGGTACTCAGCGACATAGATAGCCTGACTGAGGAGAAAATAGATGAGGTGATCAAGGAGTTCTTGGAGGACGCTAAGGAGGATTTGCTGGAAACCAAGGGGTGGCCTATTAATTGCTCTGCATATGTAGTCTCTAAAGTTGCTGTTAATTCCTATACAAGAATTTTGGCCAAGAAACTGCCTAACATAATCAAAAATGCAGTTAATCCAGGTTTTGTCAAAACAGACCTTAGCCATAATTATGGGCAGTTCACTGTTGAAGAAGGTGCAACAGGACCTGCTGTGATGCTGGCTTTAGTGCCTGACAGTCGACCATCTGGCCTCTTTTACAATCAGATTGAAGTGTCAACGTTTTGATATGAAGCATCATAAGAATGTACTAAGAGAATTTTGATTTCCTTTGTTGCCTAATATTATTTCACTAATCTGTGACTTTCTATAGCCACAGCCTATGAAACTGATGTACTTTAATTGCTGAAATTTCAGAATAATAAACTTGAACTCTTGCTTCATGCAAAGAAAGTCTGTGATATGCATTTAGAGATTGGGAAAAGTTATCTGGTGCTTGTTGCCTCCTAGAATTCAGCTGCCTGCATAAGAAGTTCAAAGATTTGGGCATTTAAAATTTTGAAGTTCAACATACAAGTTAACTTGATGGATTAGATTTTCTAATTAGATCAGAGGAATTCAGGAAGATGATACTAGAATCTATCATATGGTTTTAGATAATTAATCAAAGGAAAATTGTGGAAATGAACTTGCTATGTCATGTCAATGCTTAATGAACTATCTTCCCTTTCATGGTTCTTATCTATTCCTGATTGATAGGCCGATTTCTTCTACTCTAATAGTTTTACAGATTTTGGAAGTAATGTTCAAAAGTACTTGGATGAAGAATGGGCTTAACTCTTCCAATACTATAATATTATAAACTGGACAGAATTGGACTTTGTCTATTCAAAATCCTCTTAGCAATGGTAAATGAAAATTTCACTGGACACCAGGAAGACATCACCGCATACGTGAAATAAAGGCTCTATCATGCCACACGTAAACACAAATTAAAATAGTACTATTCGACCCATAAATTTCCTTATAATCATCTTCCCATCAGGTATATGCTTAAAGAATTGGAAGAGATACATACATTTCCTTTCCACAAAAAGGTTCTTCAATTTCATATTATTTGTAGCTTATGTTTCTTCAAAATTTTAAGCTAAAACTCTTAAAATTTTCTAGTGTTTGTTTTTGTTTGATTTTCAGGACTGCAGTTGTAACAGGAGCCAATAAAGGCATTGGTTGAGAGATATGCAGGCAGCTGGCTTCTAATGGGGTCAAGGTGATTTTAACAGGTAGAGCTGAGAAGAGGCCATGAAGCTGTCAAAAGTCTTCATAATTCAGGAGTCAAGTGGACATTTTATACTATGATCGCCAAATTTGGGTTTCTTTATAGATGCTGACGACATGTTATTAGTGATTGGACTAAAAGAAAGCTGTGATTGTGAAGGTAGAAAATTAATGTCCTATTTTTTCTGATGTCTTCTCATTTCAAACAGTGGAGACATTGAGCGGATGCTAAAGTCTTGTTAAAACGTGGACCTCAATTTAGATGTAGAAAGCAATGGTACACTAAGCTTGGTGGAGCTCCAGCTGATTTTAGTACAATAAGGTATATGCGTGAGGGATGGATTTCAGGAGTTATTAGAAGTTTTACTCTGAAAGTTATTTCTCATAAGTGAAGTCAGCTGAACTATTGTCGCATTTCAGTTCAAGATTTTGGCTGCATTCCACTATCAAGAATTGTGGAAACTCCAAGCTGCTGGCTTATTACGTTGTCATTTTGAAAGTTTCTGTTGTTGGCTTGCCGAACTCTGCTTTCTGCAGCAAATTTTGGTTACTACAGCAGTTTAGATGATGAATGCTGTGGCCTGTGGGGTTTGGCTCATGCAGGTGATGAATGCTGTGCAAAAACATAGCAATGTTGGCGTGAGGAAATTGAAAATCAAAAAGATTTTGAGCTTGTCCCCTTCTTATGGGAATCTGTTTGAGTTGCAAAATTTCCAGATTTTTGTTGGCAGAATGACTTTCTGCTGGTCCTCGAGCTGCTGTTATGGGAGATATTTTCTGGTGGACTGTTGGGGTTTTGCTGGCTGCAGGGGGGTAATTAAATTGGCCCATCATTATTTGCGGGATTGGCCTGGTGGTTGGCTTTGTGGGCCTTGTAGTATGGGGAGTTTTAAGGGCCCAGCTAGGTGTGGTGGGTGTTTCGTGGTTGAGGGTGACCGTCAACTGCCGGAGTTGGCCCTCTAGCCTGTTTGGACTTCCTTCTCGTCTGGGGTGTGGTCGTATGACTGGTGGTGGGTTGAGGTTGGTCTGCTTAGCGTGTGGGTTGGGATCTAGGGGTGTAAACGAGCCGAGCCAAGTCGAGCTTTTGGCTTATCGAGCTCGGCTCGTTTACAACAGTGTCGAGCTCGAGCTCGATAAGGGCTCGCGAGCTCGAGCTCGATAAGGCTCGATCCAACCATCATTTATCCGGGTTTGATCGAGCCAAGTTCCCCTTTTTTACAGCAATCTGCCTGCGTACAGCATTTCATATTTACATCCAATGTTGAATTAACCATGATAGTTTTGAACATTACAAAATGTCTATTACCTTACAAAATCAAAAAATAATTCTGAATATATACAAATAACATTCCTAGGAGATTACCGATTTCAGAGTGTCTGGTTCGCGATTTGGGATTTAGGGGTCTTTGATTACGATTTGGGATTTAGGGCAACTGGAATGGGGAACTGAAATTGAGTAATTGACACTCTGTTTTGGTGTATCGTGTTATTTCAAATTTGCACTTTGGGGGGGGGGGGAACAATCATTTTTTTAAACTTTTTTCACTGAAAAATATCAGTTTAATACCTAATAGTTTAAAAAATCACCAAAACACCATATTAAGTGTACAGTGCTTAATCGAGCCGAGCCGAGCCAGGCTCGCGAGCCCACGAGCCGAGCTTCACTATGTTCGAACTCGACTCGGTTAATGAACCGAGTTCGAGTCGAGTCGAACCGAGCCTTATCGAGCTGAGCTCTAAACGAGCTTTTATCGCTCGACTCGGCTCGTTTACAGTCCTAAAATGGGATCTCCTTTCGGCTGGGAAGTGAAGTGTTTGTTGGGGTGGGAAGATGACAGCCCAGCAAGTAATACGTGCTTGTTTTGGTGGTTGGGCAATGGGCTTCTGTATGATGTTTTATGGGCTGTTGTGTGAGAGCCCCGTTTATGTGGGCAGCTTGCATGGACCATTTTTCGGGGTTGATTGCGTCAGCAGGTGCATGGGCAGTTTAAGTGGATAGATTGTGTGGGCCAAGTGCGCCGGCTGGTCCTCTGCATTTCTTGGGCTCCCCTTGGGTTGTGCTAAGAATTCTTTTGGGTTTATGGCCTTGTATAGTTAGCTACTTTTTCTCCTTGTTTTTGCCAAGAACTCTTTTCTTTAAGACACAGTATGTCAACACTGAAATCGCAGTGTTAAGCGTTATAATACCGCACTATGCTCAGTTCGATTCTGGATAATATGCAAGTTAAGGTAATCAAAAGAAATTTGGTATAAAAAGTTGCCTAGGTCTTGTTTGGTTACCGGAAGACGGCCTTAATACTGTTTCAGAAGTGGATATCAATAATTGTAGGAAGCTCAAAGCTCTCTATAGCCACAAGGACACCATCAAAACCCTTCAATGCCTAGCCTTATATGAATGGCCAAGTATTGGCTTTCTCTCCTGGACAAATTCCCACCGATCTAACATCACTTGAGGTTGAAGATCCCTACATCTACAACTCACAGGCTAATAGCAGAGCTCACCACATGGACATAAAACTTAATTATACTTCGGCTTGGAACCTGATTGATCTCACATCAGTTTGAAAATAGCATCTTATTTTGCATTTATGTTTCTTTTGTATTTCATTTCGGTGGAAGCCAGTGGACTGTTTGAAACTCCATTCCTGAAGTTAACCATTTCTTTCTGCCATTGATTCTTCTAATTATTATTGAATGAGTTAAATTATGATGTTTTGCAATTTTTGAGATTTATAATTTCCATAGATACTGAACTTTTGTTTATACTATGAACACCAAATTTGGGTTCTTTTTATAGATCATAACTACATGTTGATAATTGGACTTAAAAAGAGAGTCGTAATTGCAGAGGTAATGTTCTGTTTCTTCTTATGCCTTTTCATTTGTTATGCCTGAAAAAGTAGGGCTGATGCCAAGCCTTGTCAGCATGAATGATCAAAGCTTAGGTAGGCCCTACAGCCATTCGGATGCAGCCACGTCGGGCGCTGACATGAGCGACATGCTCCTGCCAGTGCAGTGGGTGTGCGCCAGATTGGCGAAAGGCTGGAAATGACCCACGTGTCCAACCCCTGCACAAGTCGAGGAAATCGCTCGAGCAGTTGAACAACGAGATGCAAAGAAGGATTTGCACGGCAGTCTGACCCACTCACAGATTTAGTAATCATTACCTTAATTCATCCCATTATAAATAAAGGGATCCTCTCCCGTTTGTGGGATTAGCTAAATTCACTCTGGAATTGCATATATTCTCTCTTGTATTCACTTGTACTCTAAAAACTATAAATCAGCTCGCTGAACGCGACCTGATCTTATACATTAATACAATATCAGTGGATGTGGGATTCGCTTGTTTAAGCATCCGAACCACTTTAAATATTGTTTTTCATCCATTACCCCCAAATTCACGTGTGATTTCTAAGTCAGCTAAGCATTTCCCTGAAGTTAATCATTTCTTTGTGCCATTGATTCTTCTAATTATTATTGAATGAGTCAAATTATGATGTTTTGCAATTTTTGAGATTTATAATTTCCATAAATACTGAACTTTTGTTTATACTATGAACACCAAATTTGGGTTCTTGTTCTTTTTATAGATGATAACTACATGTTGATGATTGCACTTAAAAAGAAAGCCGTGATTGCAGAGGTAATGTCATGTTTCTTCTGATACCTTTTCATTCAATAAGTGGCCTGACTCTTTTGGCATTGAACTGATACCGAGGTTTTGTTGAAACAATGAGCTCAATTCCGAGGTGGAAGGCAATGGTACACTATGCTTTGTGGAGCTCTAGCTGATTTTAGCCCAATACAGGCAGAAGCAACAGAGACTATGCTTGGAGAACAAAATTTTTAGAGTTATGTACAGAGTTCGAATCCAAAAGTCATGTGTCACAAGTGTAGTGAGAACAACTATTATCATATTTTATTTCAAATTTTAGTTGTATTGCATTACGAAAATTTGTAGTCACTCTAAATTGCTGGCCTATTACAATTATTTTGAGAGGTGTAGGTGCTCAAATGTTCGTATTTTGGTTGCTGAAGATTCTGTTAAAGCCTTCCCAAGGTCGTAATTTTCCAGGCCTATGAACATGTTACGTGGTTTCCATTTTGCTGATATTAGCGTTAAAGATTTTCCAGGGTTGTCATTTGCTAAACCTATGAACATGCCATTGTTGCTGATATTTCTTGTTTTCATGAGACTAAGCTAATGTAGCATTGCGATTGATTGTCCTTTACCATCCTCACTTGTGCAACTACATATGAATTATTGTCCTTCTCAGAAAAAGACAGTGCAGAAGTTCGTCTGTGATCCATACGAAGATGAATCAACTTGAGATCTGCCTTCCACAGTTCATTGCAAGTTGTGCTACCGCTTTCTGCAATTTATCCCATTACTCTTGTAATTTTATTATTTTGTGGACTAAGAGGTTGCTTTAATTGTAGAGGTTTAACTTTTTTCTTGAATTCCTGTTTGTTCTGCTGTCTTTTTCCACAATTTTGTTTATTTATTATCATTAGTAGTTGTTAAACCATCACTACTTTGATTTATTGGTTTAATTATTATATTGATAGTTGTTCAACCACTACTCTTTTTAACTATAAAAATTGGGTATATAAAAAATTTAACAGAAATTGACATGAACCTTCAATAATATTGTTTGTAAACTGAAGATCAGAGTAAAATTCTCAAACAAGCCAAACTAAATTACAAAATGCCAAAACATCAATGATATATTTATTATATTATGAACCATTATTGAAGACTGGTGGAGTCCACACGTTTTTTCAAGAAACTAAAAGATGCCAAATTTGATTTTGTTTCTTTTAAGTCTGATGGTCATCTCGAGGCATTTTTTTATGAGCAGGACGAGGACTAATAATTTATTTATGAGTATTGTGGTGCAATGAACATTCACTTAAAACAACTCACCCTATATTTTAATGTTTTATTTATGATTTTTTAAAGGATATGGACTTTTCGTCGAGTGCATTGCAGAAATTTCTAATTTCTCCAATTTCTCCTTTCCCACACAAGTTGACCAAACCATTACCAATCTCAAAAGCCTTTCCACTTTTCATTTATCATCTGTAGACAGAGAAGCTGAGTAAAAGTTTTCTTGCTTGCAGAAACTGACTGTCAAGAAGTTCAAGACCATCCGAAAACCACAAATTACAGGTAAACAATATTCTTCATACCATTAAGACAATTTTTAAAACCAGCTTCTTTATTTGGTTTCTGAAAAATATGTCTTACATCTGTAATTAGGCCAAAATCCTGATTATATATCTTTGTCAATGTCCAACTCAAATATTGCTATCATCCATGTATACGTCTTGCTAATGATTATCAATGGTGTGAAATAGAGCTCCATGAATCCATGGTTTTTTTTCCCCCATGAATGTCTCTAAATATATATTTCTTTTTTGGAGGACTAGGAGGTCAAAATTGTGGAAAAAGTTAAATAAATTGTTGTAATCCTCTACTTACGTTGAGGATAATATCAATAATTTCTTAATTTTATGCATATATGTCTTATGATTTAACGTCGGACAACCTTGTTAAATTCATTAGGTTTCCTAATTTGATGTTATTATTATTTTTTTTAATCTTGAGTCAATTCGACCTCGTTTAATGGATTATTGCTATAATAGTGCGTATATAGTATGTATTCAAATATTGTTAAGTTCCGATCTAGCATATCTAGTGCTAAAATCATATAAGTAGTGAAAAAGTGTCAAATATCCATTGTTCTCAAAATTTGATTTTAGTACAAATAAAAAAAAAAAAAAAAATCCAGCATCTACAATTGTATGCCAAAAAAAAGTATCTTAATTTTCATTTCTTTTAAATGCATCTAAAAATCTAAGAATCTCTATACATATAAATCTAAACTTCAAAATAAATTTACAAAAAATAAAATAAAATAAATAGTGATAAAGAAATAGAAACAGAAATATAGAAATAACTAATGAATTGGTTAAGATTTACCTGGAAACCAATTAATAAAAATTTAAATACCCATAAGTAATTTACTATTAAGGACAAAATAATATAATTAATAAAATGCTATTATTATCTACGCCCTACTTTTTTTTTTTTTAAATTTTGTTTTTTTCAATAGTATAAACTATAAACAAATAAAAATTAATTAAAGCAAAAATATATTTTTTTAAATATTCCATAAATGAATTATTCATATCACATTAGATTGTTTATATTTTGTTAATTAAACAAAATGTCTTAAGAATTAAAAATGGTTAGTCATAAATAGTATCTATATAAATAAGTTATATTGAGTCCTCTTTGATATTATATAGATCATAGAGAATAATTTTGAGGAAGATGACCAGGTAAACCTTGTGCAATGATCTATAGACTATACAATCTTTTTCTATTTTAAATTATTTTATATTTTAATCAATAATTATTTTTGCTTGTTCTTTTCCAAAACAGATCAACAAAAAAACGCATACATACATATATGCATTGCTTCTTGGAAGTCAGTGTAGAGCAATATTTATATGTTGATCAATTTGTCCTAATTAATCAAGTCATTAATTTTAATCAAACACCGATCAAATTATTGATTTGATTATCATTCAATTTTCTTTTATGAAAATCCATGGAGGGTGCCCACTGATGCTTGGAAATTTACTAAAACAAACACGAACACTATGGACCACTGGGAAGAAAAAACAAGACATTAAAAATGCAACCAAAGCTTTTAGCTCCTTTCATTTGATTTGCGGTTGAATTATTGCAACGGCGGAGCCAAGACTTCAAAGCCAAAGTTGCGGACAGTTGGACTCTCTGCTTTATGAGTAGGCTGTCTATTTTCCATTTTACTTTTTGTTTAGCTTTGATAATGAACACTTGACTCGTGGATGTCCATTTTCCATTTTATCATTCATAGTGAACTGTTGAGAGAAAAAGGAAGAAACCTCCCGAAATTTTCATTTTCTGAGTCTCTTTCTTCTTCTCCCAAAACTCTCCTAAAGCACCAATTTCCATCTCCTCATCTTGCAGACAGTGTTTGCTTGCAGAATCGACTGTTAAGAAATCTAGAAGACCCTCATATCACTAATTTCAGGTGAGAAAAAATAACCTTCATATCACCACCACTTTTTAAATTATTATTTATAATTTTAAAGTTGCTTCAGAATTAATTATCAGGTTTAAGCCCTCTTAATTAGTCATCATGCTTAAAGTGTTATAGTTTATTGCAATTGAGTTTTTTCGAATCCATAGCGGAAAACCAGTTTCTCTTGCTTTCACTCTCACTCTTCTGTTTGTGTGATGGATAATCGATCCTTCTGATTTAACTCCTTTCTTTCTAACAGAAAAAACCAATCACCATGCCTGTGGGAGAGCTCTTTCTCTCTGCGTTTCTTTCGGTGTTGTTTGACAGACTGGCTTCCAAAGAGTTGCTGAATTTTGCTAGTCAAGAAGGTGTAAGTTCAAAGTTGAAGAAGTGGGAGAAAACGTTCAGGATGATTGAGAAAGTGCTTGGTGATGCTGAGGAGAAGCAACTGACAGAAAACGACGGGGCTGTGAAAATCTGGCTGGACGATCTCCGGGATTTGGCTTATGATGTGGAGGACATTCTGGATGAGTTCGCAACTGAAAATTTGCGGCGTAAGGTGATGTGTGAAGATCATGCTAGCACAAGCAAGATAGGTAGCTTTATCTCTGCTTGCTGCACTAGTTTGACTCCAAGTTCTGTGAAGTTCAACATAAGCATGGGGTCCAAGATAAATGGTATTACTACCCGATTGGCGGAACTTTGCAAACAAAAAATTGACCTTGGACTAAAAGAGATTTCTGTGGGGACATCAACTGCTGTAAGGACAGGGACAAGACCAGCTAGTACATGTGTGCGAATCGAACCAGCTGTTTACGGGAGAGATGATGATAAAGCCAAGATACTTGAACTGGTTTCAAGGGACGAACCAAGTCAGGCCAACTTTAACGTAATACCCATTGTTGGCCTTGGAGGAATTGGCAAGACAACGCTTGCTCGGGAGGTCTACAACGACAAGGCTGTAGAAGGTTTCAGTCCAAGGGTATGGACATGCGTCTCTGATGTTTTTGATGTTTTGGGAATCTCTAAGGCAATTCTTGAGTCCATCACTTCAACTCCCTGCAGCCTAACGAGCTTAAATGAGGTTCAGGTTCAACTAAAAAATTCAGTAACAGGAAAAAAATTCTTGCTTGTTTTGGATGATGTTTGGAATGAGGATTATGAATTGTGGGAAGCCCTAAAGTCTCCATTTATGGCTGGTGCAGCAGAAAGTAAAATCATTGTGACTACACGCAGCAGAAAGGTTGCATTGACTATGGAACAAGGAGTATGTTTTGACTTGAAGCTTCTAGAAGGCGATGATTGTTGGAGCATATTTGAGAAGCATGTATATGGAAACAGAGTAATTGCTACAAGTCAGAATTTGAAATTTATTCGTGAGAAAGTTGTTGAGAAGTGCAAAGGCTTACCCTTGGCAGCAAAAACTCTTGGTGGTCTTTTACGTACTAAACAGATTTATGGAGAGTGGGAAGATATATTGAATAGCAAAATATGGGAACTACCGCAAAATGGTATTCTCTCTGCATTAAGATTAAGCTATCATTATCTTCCTTCGCATCTAAAAAGATGTTTCGCTTACTGTGCAATTTTGCCAAAGGATTATGAATTTACGGAGAAGGAACTTGTGCTTTTATGGATGGCAGAAGGTCTTATTCAACAACCAAGAAACAAGCAGTTGGAATATGTAGGAGGTGAATATTTCCGTGATTTACTGTCAAGGTCATTTTTTCAAGAATCAAATAGTGAAGATTATAAATTTGTAATGCATGACCTTATTAATGATCTGGCCCGATGGGTTTCTCGAGAAACAAGTTTTAGGTTGGAGGAAGAATTCAATGTCACAGAAACAAAAAGATTTGAAAGGACGATTCGACACGCCTCTTACACATATAGAGCGTATGAAGTCAAGAAGAATTTTGAAGTTTTCCATACTATGGCGCACTTGAGAACGTTCATAAGAATGTTCCCACCCCTAAGGTATGCAGAACAGACTTACATATCTAGGGAAACTTTTTTTCATTTGCTGCCAAAACTCAAAAATTTGAGAGCATTATGTTTAACAAATTACCATGCCATGAAACTACCTGACTCAATTGGAGATTTGAAACTTTTGAGGTATCTCAATCTTTCTAAAACTGAAATCACATATCTACCTGAGTCAACAAGTTCACTATTCAATTTACAAAGTTTGTTATTAAGAGGTTGTTCTCATCTCAAAAAGTTGCCTTTACAATTGGGAGATTTGGTCAATCTTCGCCATCTTGATATTAGAGGTGCAATACTTATAAGAGAAATTCCTTCGGGAATGAAAAAACTGAAATGTATTCGAACCTTATCTAATTTTGTTGTGGGTGAAGGTGTCGTATCTAGTTTGAAAGATTTGAAAGAATTAAAGTTTATTCGTGGAGAACTTTATATTTCAAGGTTAGAGAATGCAACTGATTGTCATGAAACAAGAGATTCTATATTGTGTGATAAGAAGGACTTGGAAGTGTTAGTGCTAGAATGGAGTTCTTCTCATGCCTCACGAGACGAAGAAGTCGAGAAAATTGTTCTTGACATTTTACGACCCCATACAAATCTTAAAGAGCTCACAATCAAGAATTTTTGTGGCAAAATATTTTCATCTTGGATAGGAGATCCAACATTCTCTAATATGGTTTCTCTTAAATTGGATGGATGTAAAAGTTGCAAGACCTTGCCTTCGATTGGGCTACTAGGCTTACTTAAAAACCTCACCATCAAAGGGATGAAAATGCTTAAAAAAATAGGCTGTGAGGTGTATGGGGAGAGTTGCTCAGAATCTTTTAAATCACTAGAGACTCTTTGTTTTGAGAATCTGCCAGAATGGGAGCATTGGGATCCTTTTGAAGAAAAGGAGCATGTTGAAAGGTTCTCTTGTCTCAAACAGCTTTCCATATCACAATGTCCTAAACTCTCTGGAGGATTACCTAACCGTCTTCTTTCATTAGAGAAACTTGTGATTAGAGATTGTGAACAACTGGTGGTTTCGTTCACAAGCCTTCCAATGCTCTGCCATTTAGAAATAGAAAGATGCAAAGGCATGGTTTGCAGTAGCTCGAGTGAGTCCTTAATTAGTGAAGAATCAAATGTTCCAGGGTTTAGAAGTTGGACCAGGGAGGGATTTCAGAAATTAGAAACTCTGAAAATTGTTGGTTGGGAAGAGCTCACACATTTGTGGGGAAATGAGATTTTTCTTGAGAAGCCACTACAAGGTTCCCAGAGCTTCACCTCTCTTAAAGAGCTATGCATGAGAGAGCTTCCAAATCTTGCTTTGTTTCCAGATGGTTTGCTTTCCATTCCGACAAAAGTTGAAATTAGGGAATGTGATGCTATCACATCATTACACGGGGGGTTGAAGCACAACAATCCACGTGTTGAGCACTTGGAAGTCTATGTTTGCAATTCTCTATCATTCATTGTGAGAGGCCAACTACCTTCATCTCTAAAAACCCTTTGGATAAGCGAATGTGAAAAATTGGTGTGCATTTGGGAGGATACTGGTACTTCTTCTCCATCTTCTTCTTATGCATTGATGCACAAGGAAGATGTGGACAACACCCCCACATCTCTTCTCTGCGAATTGCGAATAAGTGGCTGCCTTTCTCTTACGCACTTATCATCGACATACCAGTTACCTCCAACACTCACAAACCTTTCAATATGGAATTGTACAAATCTCAGGACGTTACTATCTGGAGGACAGTCACCTAAGGCAGAGTCAATAGTAGAGAGTTTTGACAATTACAAGTCTCTTGGATCAACTCTGGAGGGCCAATACACTCTTCGCAATCTTAAAAATATTTTTATTTGGGAATGTTCCAGTCTTGTTTTGGGCCGGGAAATTGTGCTTTCTAACAATATTTCAGAAGTTTGTTTCTCTGGATGTGAGAAGATACAAGCACTACCAAGCTGCATGCACACCGTCAAATCTGTTGGACACTTAACCATATCGAAATGTCCAAGCATGGCATTGTTTCCAGAAGAAGATATTCCCGACAATATAAGGTCACTTAACGTTGGTGAACCCAAAATCTACAACTCACTGGCTGGGTGGGGCTTCCACAAATTCACCTCTCTTACAAGTCTTTCAATTAGTCGATGCCCAAATGCAGTGTCTTTCCCTGAGGAGGAGATGGGAATGAAGTTGCCATCCTCTCTTAAAAACCTCACAGTTGATGGATTCCCAAAATTAAAGCACCTATTTCCCATGGGTTTCCAAGATCTCATCTCTCTTGAAAGGTTGTGGATCAAGGATTGCCCAAATCTCACATCTTTGCTAGATTTTCCATCTTCGCTTCTGGAACTTGGAATTAATAGTTGCCAAAATCTCACATCCTTACCAGACCTTCCATCCTCGCTTCTGGAACTATATGTTATTAATTGTCCTTTGCTAAAACAACGTTGCAAAAGGGATAAAGGACAAGAGTGGCCCAAGATAAAGCACATCCCTCTTGTTATGATAGATTAGAAGTTCATTTACGATTCAGAGGAAGAAGAATGAAGTCAATTTGCTTTCAGAATGAAGAAGGCTGAATCTATCAATTACCTGCCTTCATTCTTATGGGCCATTCAGGTCTGTCAATTTCTAGAACCACACAACATTAGATTTTATCAAAACAATTAGATTTTCATAAAACAGAGTGTTCATTAACAATTATGTTGTTCTTGCAGGGACCAACCAAACAGTCTCAACTCCGGGATGCAGTATGACATGAGTGGCAATGCAGTGTACAAAGTTTCAAAGTGAGGTAATTAGTAAAAATGTTGTTCTTGCAGTTTTATAGGTTTTACTATTTTTCAGCTCTGTGAGAACAGAGGCTAATAACAGAGCTCACCACATTGCACATAAAATGTTATTTGAAGTGGCGTGAAGTAACCTTTCACTCATCTTCCAGTCAGAATTTAAGACTTCATGCTTGCTGCATTATGATGAATTAAGCATAAATGTTGATGCAAGTTTCATCTCTTTTGCTGAAGTTAACTGCTTCTTCATCTCATTGATTCTCTGAAATATTCAGGGTTAAAAGGTAATTACAGAAAAACAGATTATAAGTTTAGTTAATAATAAAGTTTCTGATACTACGGTTGCAGTCTAAAGTCCTAGACATGATGCAGCTTCTTTTAATGAGACAAATGAAGCTGATTCGGATGTGGTTGGCAACAATACACTCTTCTAAGTTGAGCTTTGGATTATATATATATATTAATTTCTATGTAATTGCATGCATTTGCATTTTCTTTAATTACCTATTGTAATAGGATTTCTCAAGAAGGGTAAGGTTCATTATGTCCCCCCTTGTCTAGGTGTATATTTTTTAATCAATTAATAAAATTTTCTCGTACTGTCGAGGTTCTCTAAAAACGGAGATAAAAATAATAAATAAATACTTCAAAAGTTATTTGTAATGAGAGTTTTGTTTTGTTGAAAGTTTCTATTATTGGCTTCATTAGCTACTGCTTTCTACAATTTGGTGTTGGTGTTCAAATACTGGAATCCTGTTCAGCCTTGCAATAATCAAGATTTGCAGTTTTTGGGTTGTACTGTGGTTCAAATGTCTGAAATTTTGTTGCTGAAGATTCTCTTAAAGCCTTTCTAAGGTTATGATTTGCTCTGCCTTTGGCCATGGTTTGTTGATCTTTGCAGAAAACGAGCTGTTGATAATTCTTCTTGTTATAAGACTAAGTCACGTTTGGTTCAAGATAGCACACCTCTCTTGTGTTAATATAGGTTAGAAGTTCATCTATAATCCATACGAGAAAGAATGAATGAACTTCACTTTGTCTCTCAAACGAAAAAAGAGACTTGAATCAAATATTTTCTCCATTAATCGTTCTGCTAGTTTCAGTTCTGTCAATTAATTCCATCACCTAAATCGTATCAATTCATGTTATGGATCAATGAAGTTATAGTAAATCATAACTGCAGAGGCTAACCTAACTCTTTATACATAGACCACTTATAAATGTTTTCTGAAATTCCTTCGGTTTGTATTTTGTAGATAGGCAGGCAGATCTTCTTATAATGAAGCACAATTGTTGAATTTTAGATGAAGATTGTGCTTCCATTCCACTGCAAGTGTCACGGTCACTCTTTCTTCTACTAGCCTCCTGAACAGTTTTTTTGATTTTTTTTTTTTTTATAATTATTATAGTGTTTTTATATATTCACCATAACAGTCTACTAACTTAGCAATTTAAGACAAATACAACTTCTAACAAAAACTATTGTAGAAGTTCTAATAGCTTTTGAGGTTTGGTTGTGAAAATTGTTGTGATTTCTAAATCAGAATACATCTATTCATGCGTCCTAAATCATTATTCTCGTTAACTCATCATTATAATTTAGTAATTTCTGTTAACTCACTACAACCATTAATTTCCATTGGCTTAACTGTTAATTAACGACAACGAAAGATGAACGTTACTGTTAGTTAACGGCTTAACGCTCTTATGTAGTTGTTGTTATCATTAATTGACGTTCTTCTACTGTTAAGTTTATTAAACGATCTCCTTCTATTTCGTTAGTTAACGTTCTTCTGTCGTTACCGTTATATAAGGTTCTCTTGCCATTATCTTTATTTAACTTATTGTTTATTATCGTTACACCTTTAACATTTGAATAATGTTACATTTCCANATACACGGCAACGTCACTGTTCCAACAAAACATTTCAAATTTCAAATTTTAAACTAACACCACCAACTAATACACTTACAAGCAAGTGAGACATAACACTTAACCAAACTTAATACACCTAAACAAGACATTGAACAAATCAAATACAGTGACTAAAAAACTGCTTCTGCATGAATTACGGGAGATCAACAGGCGTAAATTTGCAGTTCAAAATTCTGCCACCTTTCTGAATTTCCAGCAGGATATCACCCTTCAACAAAACCAAACCATTAAACAATGGCCATCATCATGAGCTTCGAGCTTCTCAAATGGAGAACAGCATCTATAACCTTCTCACTATAGACGGTTGGGAGTCTCTGAACCACATGGACTACAAGTTAGCTTCACTCAGACCGGTTCACGGGAAGCTTGCTTTGAGATTTCTCAACTGGTTCGTGAAAAACCCTGGTTTGGAACTCACTCACTTTACTCACTTACTTTGTTTAACAGCTCATGTTCTTGTTAAAGCTAGAATGTATGATGATGCCAAGGTGATATTTAGGCAGTTAGCTCACATGGTTATTGGTCAAAATTCCGTTTTTGGTGCTCTGATGAACACATACGCTCTTTGTAATTCAAATCCCTCTGTTTTTGACTTGTTGATTAGGGTTTATATGAGAGAAGGGATGGTTGTAGAGGGGTTGGAGACGTTTAGGTTGATGGGTGTTAGAGGGTTTAATCCGTCGATTTTTACTTGTAACATGATGCTAGGATGTTTGCAGAAAGAGTGTAGGGTTGGGTCAGTTTGGTTGGTTTTTAGGGAAATGCTGGCTAGGAAGATTTGTCCTATTGTTGCTACTTTTAATGTGTTGATAAACGTTCTGTGTCTGGAAGGGAATCTTAAGAAAGCGGATTATTTAGTGAGAAAGATGGAGGAGACTGGTTATGTCCCCAATGTAGTGATGTATAATGCTTTGCTCAATTGGTATTGCAAGATGGGGAAGTATAAAGCGGCGTTTGTGCTGATTGATCATATGGGGTGTAAAGATATCAAAGCTGATGTATGTACATATAATATGTTTACTGGTGATTTGTGCAGAACCAATATAAGTTCAAAAGGTTATTTACTATTGAAAAATATGAGGAAGAGGAAGATATCTCCTAACAAAGTCACTTATAATACTCTTATTATTAATGGGTTTTTTAGGGAGGGAAAGATTGGGATTGCAACTGGGGTATTTGATGAGATGTCAATGCTTAATCTTTCACCAAATGGTATTACTTACAATGCTTTAATTGATGGACACTGCAACAAGGGTAATTTTGAAGAAGCTTTGAGACTTTTGGTTAGGACGGAAGCAGTTGGACTAAGACCTAATGAAGTCAGTTATGGGGCTCTTAACTTTAAATGGATTATGTCAACATGACAAGTTTGACTTAGCAAGGGGTTTCCTGGAGAAAATGAGGACTGACGGAATGGTTGTTGGCCATATAACATATACATCAATTATTGATGGGCTATGCAAAAATGGGTTGCTTGATGAAGATATGCAATTGCTCGATAATATGTTCAAGGATGGATTGAATCCTGATCTTATAACATTTTCTGTCCTTATAAATGGATTTTGCAGAGTGGGAAAGACTGAAAAGTGAAGGAGTTATTATATAAATTGTATAGAGCTGGATTTGTTCCTAACAACATCATATACTCTACTTTAATCTATAACTTCTGCAAGATGGGAAATGTTGCGGAAGCATTGAAGGTCTTTTCAGTTATGAATTGCAATGGTCATATTTAGATCAGTTTACATTTAACGTGTTGGTTGCTTCTCTATGTAGAGATGGAAAAGTTGGTAAGGCAGAAGATTTTATGCATCACATGAGGAAAATAGGTCTTGTCCCTAACTCAGTGACTTATGATTGTATTATAAATGGCCATGGAATGTTGGGCAATGGGTTAAAAACATTTTCTGTGTTTGACGAAATGATTAAACTAGGTCATCACCTAAGTCATTTCACATATGGTAGTTTACTTAAAGGACTGTGCAAAGGTGGTAATTTACAGGGGGCAAAACAATTTTTGAATAAGCTTCACTACATTCCTTCTACTGTAGATACTATTGCCTACAACACAGTAATTTATGAGGCATGCAAATCTGGAAAATTATGGGAGGCACTGGTCCTTCTTGATCAGATGGTACAGGATAATTTGCTGCCCGATAGTTATACATACACTAGTCTTCTTTCTGGGTTATGTAGGAAGGGCAACGTGGTTTCTGCTCTTCTTTTCTTTGACACAGTGATGGCAAAAGGTACTGTTCCAAATGAGGTAATGCTTACCTGTTTGGTTAATGGCCTTTTCAGGGCTGATCAATCGAAGGCTGCTCTGTATATCTATGATGCAATGGAGAAGGGAGGCGTCTTCCCTGACACTGTTTCTCTTAATGCTGTTATAGATGGATTCTCAAGGATGGGAAAAATGATTAAGGCATATGATCTCTTATTAACAATGAGAAGCAGAGGTCTGTGCCCTGGTTTGGCTACGTATAATATTCTCTTGCATGGTTTTTCCAAGAAAAAGGATTTGTTAATGTGCTCTATGTTGCACAGTATCATGATAAGGACTGGCCTTTTGCCTGACAAGTTAACATGTCATTCTCTCATTCTTGGATTCTGTGAGACTGGTATGTTAGAAGTAGGTGTTAAATTCTTGGAATAGATGGTAGTAGAAGGTACTGTAGTCGATCAGCTTACTCTTAACATGCTTATAATGGAGTGTTGTAAAACTGGTGAGTTGGGGAAGGCCTTTGATCTGCTAAATGTTATGAATAAATTGGGAGTTTTTCCTGATATAAATACCTACTGTTAGTGTTTAAGCTAATGCCGGATGTGCGAAGAAAAGGAGAACAGAAGAGAACTCGTGCAAAATTCATTAACCAACAAAAACCTGCATATAACATGCTTTGGCTTACTGTTACAATCACTATCAGTAACTTTTACATAATCTCAGTTAATCCACACACATCTAACAACCACATTACAAAATTAGCTGAGTCATCAAATTCAAAATTAGCACTTAAGTTTACAATAAGGCTTAAACTATGGAATTGAGAAACAACACCATGTACGTCACTTGTACAACAGCAAAATAGCTTCAGACTTTCAGTTTTAGCAAACCATACTTCCAGCACAGCGTCAACCTTCAACACTCCACCTTGATGCTTTGGCTGGAAACACCAAGTTCTAACCTTAAGGCTTCAAACTTGGATTTGCACAATGCCTTTGTCATAATGTCAGCAACTTGATCTGTCCCTCTGTAGTGCACTAAGTTTACTTCTCCACACTGTTCAGCTTCCCTAACAGCATGATACTTAATCTTAATATGCTTAGTCTGCCGTGGAGTACAGGATTCTTTGCCATTGCCACAGCCGACTGGTTATCATATAGGATCAATGTAGGACCACCCTGCCCTTGGTGCAAATCATCCAACATCTTCCTCAACCACATAGCCTGGTTCACTACTACTACAGCAGGGACATATTCAGCTTCAGCAGTAGACTGTGCCACAGTCTCTTGCTTCCTTGACAGCCAGCAAATTACACCTGATTCAAGTAAAATACATAACCAGAGGTTCTTTTTGCATCATCCAGGGATCCACCCCAGTCACTGTCAGTATACCCCAACAATTTCAGACTTTTAGCCTTCCTAAAACAGATGC